AGTAAGATAAAATTATCTATCTGTCTCTATGTATAGAAACTGGTGATTGATCACAATCCAGTTATTGCTAGAATTCTGTTTGCAGATCGTTAAATAAAAAAAATTAAAAAATATTTATAAAATTCCAATTTCAAAAAATTGCATAAGCGGTGTAAAATTTTGAATCGTTCAAAAAAATAAATATGTTCTTGTCTTTACTTAATTTCTTGACCTTCTTAGTTATCCGAGCACAACTTGAACTAAGTAAACAGACTATTGTTGAATATTGAGCGAAACGCATTGTTTTTTGTTTCAAAATTTTGTTCCATAGATAATAAATAATCTAAGACATCGTAGTCTTTGAAAATACTAAACATTTTGATAGTATCATCATCATCAGCTCACTATACGTCCCAACCGAGGGGCTCGGAGCCTACCCTAAGTTAAGGGTGATTAGGCCATAATCAACCACGCTGGCCAAGTGCGGGTTGACTTCACACATATCTTTGAATTTCTTCTCAGATATGTGCAGCATCACGATGTTTTCCTTCAACGTAAGATCGTCGGATAAATGTACATATGTAAATCGGAAATCGAAAAACACATTGGTACATGGCGGGAATCGAACCCAGGACCTGCAGATTGCAAGTAAAGTGCTTAACCAATGAGCCACCGACGCTCGCTTTGATAGTATATGCCTTTGAAATTCTAAGAAAACAGTACCTATTTAAGACATGGAAATTTTATAAACGAGGTAATTTAAGACCATTTATTAAAAAATCGTGTAGTTATAAGTTAAGCAAATTCCCAATTTGACGTGTGCAATTCAGTCAGTTTGTATAATGTTTTTATCTCTAAGTAATACTGAACCAATTAATATTGTTATAATTTTTAAATGCGCGTCCATTTTTTTTAAATATGTTTTTTTTTATATTAATTTGTGATAGGAAACCAAAATTAGAAGAATTAAAAATCTTAAATGAGAAACAGATTAGCAAAATATTCAAACGAAACATTGTCCAAAAAAAGTTGTTACGTAAAAACGTCAGTATTTGCGCTTTCTTTTATGGCCTAAGATTTTTTAGAAGTGTCTGTTTTTGTGATCTTGAACTTTGTTCTCTAGACAGTGTTTATAATATTGCGAAGTTGGAGAAAGTTGCTTGTCTCCTCTCCAATAACGTTAAAGCGTAATTTTTAGAAAATATCATGGAATTATAAAATAAGATTGCTCACGATTATAAAAAATCGATTTCTAATTCGTTACTTGATAATTTTTTTTTTCGGAAACAATATTTCAATTCTAAATGAATAATTAAAAAGAAAATAAAAATAAATAATAAGCAAATAATAATTAATACAATTAAAAACGATATAACTATATAACTTACACCTCAAAAACAAAATAAAAAAACACTGGCAACTCACAGTAATCGCGTCGTTTTTCATAATTCTAAATTTAAAAACAATAGAAAAAAATAACGCAATTCGTAATTCTAAATTTAAAAAACTTTCGCCGTGGTAACTTACTTCAAACTAGTTTGTACTGTGGCCGACATTTTCCCGCGCACTACCGACACTCCACGCGCTGCAATGCTGACTGACTTGCTTTGCCGCGCATAGTCACGATAAAACCGTGTCAATATATCTACAGAGCTGCTATTTGATGATCATAAAAATTAATTCTATAGAATTATTAAAGTGTACATTGTTGCAAAATTCTGCCACATTAAATCAATTTGCTTAGCACTTACGTATTGATTTGCTCCCTAATTTATAAGAAATAAAAAAATAGGTTCGTATTTTATAATTTATACTCTTAAATAATACAACAATTATTTCAAAGTAATTTAACAAACTTACAAACTTTACAATAAAAACAGTTAATTATTGTTATTAAAAGATAATTTAAATTTAGTAATTAAAAAGAGCGTGAGGGGTTTAAGCACTTGACTTGCAATCAGTAGCTCCTGGGTTCGAATCCCGTCATGTACCAATGTGTTTTTCGATTTCCTATTTACATATGTAGATTTATCCGACGTTCTTACGGTGAAGGAAAACATCCTGATGCAACCTGCACATATCTGAGAAGAAATTCAAAGATATGTGTGAAGTCAACCAACCCGCACTTGGCCATCGTGGTTGACTATGGCCTAGTCACCCCTAACATAGGGTAGGCTCTGAGCTCCTTAGTGGGTACGTATAGTGAGCTGATGATGAATTAAAAATCCAATGTATTTCAGCATTTAATTTAATATGGTGTGTCAGCTCTAGTGATGTCCGATACACTATTGACAAAAGAAACTAGTCCTTAGAAGCGAGAGTCGTGGGAAAAGCATTTTGCCATCTTTCGTTAACAATTGTCTTCTTTGCTGCAACAACAGTTGAAGGAGATGTAACATGAGATCTTTCATTAACGACATTTGAATATATGCGATAAATTACAATGTTGTTCGAACAAAAATGTGCATGAACCGCCATATTGTGACGTCACATCTGTCAAATTAAGGTGAAGATAAGTAAAACAGACTTTCATAGTGTTTTAAATAATGTTTATTTTATATGTAAATATTTAACTTCAAATAATAATTGCGTAATTTTTTTCATTGCAAATTTTTTTGACAGAACTAGGTCGTTGACCTATTTATTTTTATTCCAAGCGCATAGATCTCCCTTATTGTGTCACATTAGATATTTTACAGATTAAAAAAATAAAACCAAAATATTTCCTTCCTTATTTGTTCTTTTATACTTCTATTTCCATCTCTGTCTCATAGATTGTTCACCCTTAACGTTACCACATTGACTCTTGCAATCCTTTATGTTGGTATCAATATATTGATATTTATAAATAGGCATAGATAAAATTATTACGTCTCTTTCTTTGTTCTTTGTTTATTCTATTCCCATCTCTTTCTAGCACAGACTGTTAACCCTGAGTGACCACTGGCTCTTGCAACCCTTTAATAATGTAGCAATATTGATAAAAAAAAGATTAGATTGTAAGAAATGTAATTTCTATGTGATTGTACCTTATCATTACAAAGGTGGTTGTTCATGATAAGTCACGTATTGTACTAATGCCTCTTTTTGAAGTACATAAACTATATTGTACACCAAATACAGTAAATATATGTTGTACACTGAAACAAAGAAACAACTTTATTAATCCTGTAAAGAAAAAGCCAAACAACAGTTTAATTATTAACAAGATTTTAAAACAATAATCTTACTCTTACTGATATAAATGCGAATGTTTAGATCAGTCTTTCCCAAAGTGGGCGATAACGCCCACTTGAGGGCGCTGCAGATCTCAAGTTGCAGGTTATAGTAAAAGTTTCGTTTAGAATTCTCCGTTAATATACATATATAGGTCACAATAATTAATTAATTTAATTTGAAGTTATAGTGGTTTTTAAGTATGTGAAAATATGGGGGCGCTAAATAAAATTTATTCTCAAAGTGGGCAGTAGACAAAATAAGTTTGGGAACCACTGGTTTAGATGAATGGAATGATAGATGTTTGTATGATGGTATCTCGGAAACGGCTTAATGGATCTTACTGAAATTTTGCACAGATGTAGAATATAGTCTGGAAGAACGTATAGACCAATTGTTAAGTTTTTTTTTAATTCCCCGAGACGAAGACGGTTTGGCTATGAGCTTACTTATATTTATTGCTAGCATTAGGTTTATGTTAAAGAGATTTCACGCCACTTTCAGTGTGCCTAGCACTAATATCTGTGATAGAAGCCTTCGTATCGTCATCTTTATGTCTAAACTAGGTTTAATCCATTCGAGCGCTATAAAAAAACTTAATTAGTAGCTTATGTGAACTTCCAGGCTATGTTCTACACTATGCCAAATTACAATGACATCCATGCATCCATTCTATAGATACCTTCTAACAAACATCCATCCAAATATTCGCATTTATAATATTAGTAAGATAAATATGAGTTTTTTGGTGTACTTTACGCCCCATCGATGATGATACGATGGTGATTGTCACTAATATTCGTACTAGACCCACAGAATAACATAAAGAAATCCAGCTTAATAAACCCCAAAAAAATTATAATGGAATTTAGATGTTCGTTTGTTTTATAAATTCACAATTCTAATAACACCTTATCTCTTTTAGACAAAAGACCCATATTTAAACAAGATATTTGAACGGTGAATCATTAATAACAAGCACTGTGGGAAAATCTGTATTAAAGAGCATGAGTTATCAAGCAAATGGACAATAATCGTGAAACCAAAATTAAACTGGTGCTATGAGTTTTCACTGCAGAATTACTTTTAGTTCATTTGGCGAGTTCATTAGAATCATTTGGAGAGAATGGCGCGCTTTCCTTACCAAGTCAAGTGTCAATTTGTTTTTTTTTTAATATTAGCCGATTTTTTGTAAATTTATTAATATTTTTTTTATCATTTCAAATAAGCTCTAGGCTTGTTCCTAAGATATGGATTACGACAATAGCCGAATGGCGGGATTCGAACCCCCGACCTCGTGATCGGAAATAAGTGCCCTTAGCCATTAGGCTATTGACGCTTTTGATTAGTGAGGGAACATAAACGTTGATATTTTAATAAGGCTAGTGTTGCGCCGATACACCGGCACTGTGTCGGATTTTCTTCCTAACAATACATGTAGAAAATCATATTTTTATCTCACACATTTTCTACGACAAAAAATAGAGAAAACAGTATGTTATCATACAGGTTTTGCGATAGTAGAAACTCACGATTATCTACTCTATTCTATCTATATCACTCCACTTTACTGTCAATTTGGTCTATGGCTAAAGTTCAGTTTGATTTGATTTTAGTATTTGAAATTTCCTTATAGTTTTTTTTTTAATAATAACTAACCTGTAACGCAAACGTAGCTGATATTTTCCATATAATTGTTAAAATTGAAGAAAGTTAAATCAACTATTATAGTTAATAAAACATAAATCAATCCCATATAGAAACACACCTTTAAAAGATCTCGCCTTTTCTGAAAAATAAAAGTTAAAAATTAAACAACTCTTTCTAAATTGCTTCCCTTGGTTCTGCTGCAGATCTTAAAAAGAACTGAACGTCTTCATCTCCAATTCTCTATTATTTTTTAATCCTTTTGTAAGTAAAGTACTTAATAGTAAAATCAAGTGTCTTGAATCAGAGCGACGAGTATATATACTCTATAGTTAAATTATGACCTCCTACAGACTAAATAAAATGATTGTAATATGTGAAGTGACATTCGATTCGAACTCTAAAACGCAATGCGACTACAATATCTTAATGTCTATGGGCATCTGTCACTTAGTTATTGGATTAAATGTAGGTTGCCGCTTGCTAGTTTTTCACATAGCTAATAAGATGACGATGATGATGAACATTTAGTTAACAAAACAGATCACAGATTCAACATATTGAGTTAACGGACAATCAACAAAACTACTTTATGTACTTCCACTGACAAGACGTTAGTTAATAAAACAGTTCATAGTTAGTTTACAGATAGTTATTCAACATATTGAGTTAACGGACAGTTAACAAAAGTTATTTGTTTTTTTACTAACCAAATTATTAACTTATGTACTCCCACTAACAAGATGTTAGTTAACAAAACAGTTCACAGTTAGTTAACGGAGAGTTAACAAAAGTTATTTGTTTTTATATTAACGAAATAATTACCTTATGTACTCCCACTAACATAATGATAGTTAACATGACGTCGATTATATTCAGAGCTATTGTGATAGGTAGATGTATATTAGGTTCCAATGTCAGTGTTGTAACAGTTATATGACCTGTCGTCTTTGACTCTACCAACATGTATATCAAGATAGGAAAAGACAACAAGATGAATACCTGAAAATATTAATACTAATTAATTAAAAAGAAAGTTAACTTTAGTTAAATAAATATCTTTTAGTCGTCAAAAACAATATATACATATAGTTACAAAGAAAGTAAACAAGTGAAGTTAATTTAAGAATTAATGAAGTCGTAATTAAGAGTAATTAATAAAATACTTCATCTCTGTCATTATTTTTGATAAAACAGAGATAGCGATATCTTTTAAACCGGGTTTTTGGTCTCGGAAATCGACGGTAAATGATTATAAATTCATTTACAAACAAGGATTAGTATTAAGTCATCTATAATTCAAATAATTAAAACTCTTGTCTTACTTCTAACTAATGTTATAAATGCGAATGTTTGGATGGATGGATTTTGTTTGAAAGTATCTCCAGAACGGCTGAACAGATCTTAATTTATTTTGGTATACATATAGAACATAGTCTGGAAGAACACATAGGTTAAGATAAATTTATTTTGCCTCCGCGCGGACGGAGTCGCAATAGCTTATTAACTATAATTGATATAAACTCACCAGATTGCAGTAACTACATATTAGGAGACCACGTCGTAAAGGTATACAGCAACAAAATTTTTTAACCACGGGGAAATGAGGGCTCTCGAATTTAATACATTTAGTTAACTCCTCCATTACAAATTTAAATAATATTAACAATTTATTAACCCTAATTCAAGTTGATTTTCAAAACTTCAGAAATTTTACTTTCTTACTGAGATCTGAAATAAAAACAATAATTAAACATTAAAATAATAGTTAAAGTAAAAAATTACAAACCAATCCGTGTCAGAGACAATATGTTTTAAACGGAGATTTTGGGCTCAGAAACCCACAATCAAGTTGTCTTTTTTTATAACAGAAGAGAGCAAATGAGCAGAACACCGAGGTGTCCAACGCCCATGGACATAAGCAATACCTGAGAAACCGCGGATGCGTTGCCGGCCTTTGAGATAGTGATACACTCGCTTCTTCAAGGACCCTAAGTCGTAGCGGTTATTCCTCTTCTTTTTATCTTCCGTTAATGAATAACTAACGCTAACTATAAACTACGATTAGAAATGCCACACTATATGTACCGAATTTTAAATTATAATACAAATAACCCTAAAAACTCACTTTATTTGTAAGAAAGAAACGGTTTTTTGCCTTTGCTTTTCCATAAACTTAAAAAAAGATAACAAAAACCCAACAATATTAAAAATAACAACACTAGAAAGGACACAGAAGAAATCCCAATCCAAACTGTTTGGATTAAGCGAGACTCAAAATATGTCGTAAGAACATACTTTAGACAATTGGATATTTCCTTTTTACCACCTACTACAAAATATAATTTAACGCACGAACATGATACATCGCTTGTTAGAGCTACAATAAAAAATATTGTATGGTCTAATGCAGCAATGTATGTTGAGTTTTATAAAAAACGGATATTAATTTGCTAACGCCTACACATTTTTGAAGTGTAGTTTAAACAGTTTAAATTTATTAATCCTCGTTAAGATTGCAATTTTTAAAAACTTATAACCTATGTTTAATTGTATTGAAAAATACGGGAGACAAGTATCTTTTAGGAACTGACAGTCATTTTTCAAAAATTAATTTTACTATTTAAGATCAATAGTGTCAAAAAACTGAATCCAAACATCCTCAAGATGTCTACTTAGGTAGAAAACTTATTTATGTAAAAGAGGGCCAAGACATATTTACAAACTAGCCTTATAAAAATAAATAGCAAATTCTTCAACAAGTGCTCTTGCTGATGAAACTAGAATTACGATTTTAGTATCTAAACGCAGATGGGGCTGTCTCACAAAATATGCCCATTTGTACTTGCTGCGCAAACTAGAGGTGACAGGCTAAACTTTCATCTCATAGACTAACTGTCAGTGACTTTGTCAGTGGTAGAGCCCGCTTTAACATCTTCGCACGAATTGGCCCGACTCGCCCGGTGAAATACCACGACCACCCTTTTTCTTATAAGGATAGGATGGTGAAGTGGAAGTGGACTTTCCGGATGAGAGTATGCATGGAAAAGGAAAATATTTTCACTCTTTGCATCCTTTCCTCCGTCGATTGAAGTTAGGCAACGCATATGCAATTGCGTGTGTCTATGGGCAACGGTCACTTCGCTATTTTAGCGATTTCAGGTGGCCGCCCGTTCGGTTGCCACCTTATGATATAAAAAAAAAACTTCTCTCCAATTCATTTAAGTTAAATCAATTGTTTGCAAAAAGAAGATGTCATGGACAGAGCGAAGTGGAAGAGACGGATTTGGAAAGCTTACCCATCTTGCGGGATGCAAGCTAGGCAGAGAGAGTGAGAGAGAGAGTTGTTTGCAAACAACACGAATTTACAAATTGTAAATTCGTCATTGTTTTGATAATTTTCCCAGTGTCGTAAAAATTACAACTTTGATATTCTTTATCAGTTTCAAGAAATTACAACATAAACATACAAATTGTAGTTTGTGATAACGCTGTTATGAAGAATTTATCACGGGGAAAATACATTTATTTATTTACAAATGAAACGTGATTTTTGCGAATTATAACTAGTACATTTAACTTGTTATTTGCCTGTCCGTTCCCACGTATTTTTAATGATACTGTAAATACTCGAAATAGAAAAATCACATTACTTTCCGGAGTTTAATTATAACCTAACTTTTACCGGTATATCTGAGGGTTGACTGTTATTCAGGATTTTACAGTAACATATATAAACAGATATACAGATAAAATATTATATATGTGTATCCGACGCCCACACGTATCATTTCCTGGCTTCCAAGAATGATAGTAATATAAATTGCGTTTAATAAATTTATTTACAATTCATATGGATGTTTGTTAGAAGGTTTCTCTAAAACTGCTGAACGGATCTCAATGAACTATTGTATTCATATAGAACATAGTCTGGAAGAACACATTGGCTACTAATTATGTTTTTAATTCCGCGCGGACGGAGTTTCTGACGACAGTTAGTTAATAATAAATGTTATTACTTGTAAAACGTTAGTTGTTTTACAGTTTATGTTATCAAGGGGAAAGTCAAAGACGCTAAGCATGGTATGAACATTTGCTTTATGATAGACACATAAACAAGAGAAGAACAACGTTAAATGTGGACAGAGATAGATAAAATCTGAATTTGAATGTACTCGTACAGTTAAGAATGGGTTACAATAATTTTGAATGAAAAAGGAATGGATTGTTTATTACAATTTTAAAATTATTAAACATTATATATTGTCGGCGACTCCGTTCGCGCGGAATTAAATCATTAATTACTAGCTTATTTGTTTTTCCAGACTATATTCTATATCCATCCATCCATACATCCAAACTTACGCATTTATATTAGTAAGATAGTATTTATATATAGCTATTTCCTACGTCATTGTCATTGTGGAATAAAAAAAAATTATTGCCTATGCATTATTCAAGACTGGTAATATATATATATAAAAAATAAAGTTATATTTGTTTTTTGTATTTTTAATCTTATATGTGTTCCTTTTATTCAGATACTTTAGCTATTGCCCGCGACTTCGTCAACGTAAAATAAAAAAAAAAACCAGCCTGTGTTACTTCGTGGAGAGATAGAGAGACAAAAATTTAAATTAAAAAATGTGTTATTATAAGTAACGCAAACAGGATGTTTACAAAATATATTCTAGTACTACATACAGACATCGAATTTTAATAACTGTATAGATTTATAGTTAGGTATCATCTCTGATGCTGGTTACACGGATGTTTTATGTTTTTAATTACAGTACTCTGTTAACATTCTGTATGACCACTCGTGTCTGTGTTTATTTTGTTGTATGAGTTTTAATTGATTTTACAATGTTTGTGGAAATGCCAATGGTGGCAAGATGTTGTTTCTGCGCACCCCTTAGATACGGACTTTTGATATGGGCTTATATTAAGTTGGTGAGTTTTTAATAAATATTAGAACATGCTGTATATTCATTTGTATATTAAAGATTCTTTAACTATTAAAAGTGTACTTACCTTGTTGTTATAGTTTAGATGGATGGAACAATAAATGGATAGAAGTTTGTTATTTTAGACAATATTAGTTAGAATCCTTTAGCGCGAATGGCGCGATTTCATTACAAAGTCAAGTGTCAGAATGATTAGTGAGGGGACATAAACATCGATATTTTAGTAAGGCTAGTGTTGCGCCAGTACACCGGCAGAGTATCGGATTTTCTTCCTAACAGTTAGAAGGTATCTCCGGCTCAACGGATCTTGATGAAATTTGACATATAGATGTAGAACATAGTCTAGAAGAACAGATAGGCTACTTACAATTTTTATTTTATAATTCCGCGCGGAGATCGCGGGCGATAGCTGGTAAAATAAAGCTGTTGCCACCCTAGTTTCACCTGCCATCCGCACGGTGACACGCATGAAATCAAACAAGTTTTCTATGTTGCAGGTAACAAGTATACTAGCATTTGGCATAACTCTAGTGTGGATGTTTCTTTGCTTTTTACGGTTTGGACCGTTTAATGTGGATGAGATTTTTTTACTGATATTGATTGTCTCTACCCTAATTAGCCTGATATCTGACATATTCTTCAATTTTGTACTTATTTTGGGCACTCATAAGGTAAGTTACTTAAGTTATATCACAAAATGAAAACATTGTGATAATTGCATTTATCGTTCAAAAGCAAAGATGTGTCTGAAGCAACACGTATTGGAGCTTGGTTAACTTAGGACATCTCTTTCTGTGCCCTTCTGCATTTGCGGATATTTATGGGCAACGGTCGCTTCGTTATTTTGGCGGCCAAGTAACGGCCCGAACTTAAGTAAAGGCACGAGCCGAGGTTCCTGAAGGAGCCCTCGAGCTTAGTTACTCTTAAACGAGGTTTCGGCTAAGTGCCATCTGCGCTCGACCACCTCAAGCCCGGTGAAGCGGTAAATGCCTCCTCAAGGCAAACAGTGGCAATTCAGTCACGCAAACAAAATCGTTATTTTGGAGAATTCTTTTAATAAAAAAAATAACTTAGGTTAGGCTAACCTCGTGGTTGCATTTCGTATTCACCACAAAGATTGTATTGTAATTTATTTTTTGTTTCAGAAAAACCGATCATTATTGTATTTATATTATCGTTATGCTTTCGCTCACGCTGCTATCTTTTTGGTGCTGGGAGTTTTATGGATTGCATATGCGATTGTGGAGAATGGAAAACCATTGAGCCAGCCTGACTCTGTTATATATATTCTGTGTGTGATCTTATCAGTTATCGTTCCTTTAAGTAAGTTTATTTTTATTTATTTGCACATTTATTCATTTTTCAGTCGTGTTACATATTCATCGTAATAATCTTATAAATATTCTTAATAAATACAAGTTTCTTAATAATATAACAAGTTAACTAAACGAATGTATGTTATCGCAAGAAATATGGTCTATTTATATTATATTATAGCGATATAAACATATATAGACAGGGCAATTTATTTCTTGTCTATTCTTTCCATTATCTTGTGTCAAGTCTTTTGAAGTTTCTATTATTTCTTACCAATATGATATGTTAGGATGGATGGATGTTTGTTTGAAACATCCAAATGGCAACTTGATCAAACTTTAATCTTCAAAATAGAGCTTCCCCTTTAATAGAACAAATTATTTTTTTTTCATGATCATACATTAATTATTTTAATTATAATTACTATTTTAGTAGGTTATTTATTTAATAATTTATTTATTTTTTAATAAATATATTAATCGCTTTTTATTAGAAGGACAAATAATTGAACTAATTTGAACTATTATTCCTACAATTACTCTAATTTTTATTGTATTATATGTTTGATTTGGTATATATGTAAAATGTAATCTGGAAGAAAAAATAGGCTTCTAGTTACGTTTTCTTTATACCCCACGGACGGAGTCTGGGGCGACCGTTAGTTTTTAATAAATGCAAACATATGTTTGTGTCCATTTATTATTTCTTAGTTACATTGAAAATGTTAAAATTATTATATTATAATTAAAACTTTTTCATGAATATTAAATTATTTAACGATTTTTTTTTTCAGTTTTACATGTCTATCTCTTCATAGTGCTACGAAGTGAGTTACACAAATTGGAGGCAAAAGAACAAATTAAGTTTGATCCAATCACAGAGTACAAGGCGCGGAAAGAGCATACCATAGAGCAAAAGCCGAATCTGGAAAATTAGAGCTTTTATAACACTATATTTCAATTTAAAATAATATAGTTTATAAATAAGAAAAGTGTTTTATTGTAACATCCTGTAGATTTACAAATTACTAGGGACGGCAAATTAATAACACGCGACCACTACATAAATGGATAGGCGTTTGTTTGGAAATGAAAGCTTTTGTTTCTTGATTTAAACGCGCCTGATGATGTTATAATACTTAATATTATCTATATTACTAGTGTATATTATTAGTAGGAATCTACACCGTTACAAAGCGGTAACCGGTACCATCAGCGCCAAAATGGCGAAAATCAAATAGGCACAAAATACTACGTCTTATAGCCAGTCCATTAATAGAGGTCCACAAATACACAAATTAGGAGTAGCTTAATTTTTGCATAGATTTGTGAATATGGAAGAAGAAAAACAGGTGTGTTAGGGCTGCGACAAAAATCTCTTTCGTAATAGTCGCTATAAATTCTATATTTCTTTCTATGTGTATTTAAATAAAACTTGAAAAAAAGATTGTAAAAATATTTATTTAAAAATATATCGTGCAAGCTGCTTTTATAATACAAATAATTTTATTTTAACAATAAAGTTTATTAATTTAAATCTAATTTTTATGAACTATTATTTTAAACATCAATCTTTTCCATCGTACACGTCGGCTCGTTTTGAATATTTTGAAAGCTAAATTGTGTATTATTTTCAAGCTTCAAAATCTCGCTTCGTACCAACGACAAGAGGTACAAATTGAACACTGAAAAAAAATTATGTTAAAAACATTTTTTTATATCATAAGGTGGCTAACGAGCGAGCGGCCACCTAAAATCGCTGAAATAGCGAAGAGACTGCCCATAGATATACGCAATTGCATATGCCTTGCCTAGCTTTAATCAACAGAGAAGAGGATGCACAGAAAGAAAATATCTTCCCTTTCCATGAAAAATGTATTATTCCTTTTATTGTAATTTTCCTATAAGGTTAAAATGCGAAGGTAAGAGGAAAGATCAGTGGTGTGGAGGAAAGAAAAAGAAATTCTGTATCCAATGTCAATCTAAATTCTATCCTTTAAATAGCATTGCCAACTTATCAACTTCTTACAAATTAGCTTGATGTCAAGTGAATCATTTTCTAAATTGCTATTTTTTATATTTAAAATAATCACAAAAAAATCAAAAAAGAATTTTCATTTTACCAGTCGTTATTTATGATACTTGACAACTAAAATCCGACCGCAACGAGTGCGACATTACAAGGCAATATAAATTTAATCGCACAATACTTATAAAATTTTTGAATACTTATAACAAAATTGAATACTTATTACAAAATTGAATACTTATAACAAAGTTGAATACTTACATATTACTCCAGTTCCAAATATCGATGTCTCGTAAATATTTTGTAGTATATATGAAAATCTCATTTGCATTATGTACTCGAATATCGCGAGACCCAATGCTAAGAGACAGAGGAGGAAAATTATTCCAAGAAAGACCATTGCATAGATGTAGTACACCCTTAGTAACTTTGGATTTTTCTGGAAAAATAAACACGCGAAAATACTCTTATTTTATACTCGGCTTACCTTGAGTTTAAGGGTTAAAAACGTGCTGCACTTAGTATGGTTTTTTAACAACGTATTTTATGTATATAGGTTATGTTAGAAAGAAAATCCGACACTGTACCGGTGTCTTACACATCACTAGTCTTATTAAAATATCGACATTTATGTCCCCTCACTAAGTTTGACACTTGACGTGGTAACGAAAGCGCGCCATTCGCGCCAATTAATTCTAACTAATAATGTCTAAAAGTTTATAAAAAAGTATATGTATTCAGTCGAGTATTTTTAATATTAAAATAATAACATACTGTAAACTATTTAAAAAAAATAATAAAAAAGTTGATTTCTGTCTTTAGCGATAATACTTAATATGTGAATATTTTGTGTTGCCTGTAAAAAGTTTAGATTAAAAAATGTCAAATTATGTTACCTTATGTGCTCCGATGATGAAAATGATAGTGATAATTAATTCAATGACTAGACTTAGGCAGTACAACAATGGTATTGAGTATTCCAACGAGAAATGTTTCGCTGAAAGTGTCATTCCTAATTTTATAGATATCATTGTTGTTAGAAAGATGCACCATGCCTGAAAAAAACAACAAAATAGCTTACTTTAAACAGAAATTTACTATTCAAATATTATAAGTTTCTGACACGAAAATCTTACTAATATTGTAAACGCGAATGTTTAGACGGATAGATCGATGGATGTTTGTTTGAAGGTATCTCCAAAACTGTTAAACGGATCTCGATAAAAATTGGCATATATATAGAGCATAGTCTAAATAAACACATAAGCTACTAATTAAATATTATAAGCGAATTAACAAAACATATTATTAACAAAGTCTTTAGGTAATGCTCCGAAGATACTAGCATCGTTCCCCCCTTTAAATAGCTATACCAATTCTATGTCCGAAGTAGCTGTCAGCTCTTCGGTCCCCTGTGATGTCGACTAACTTTTTTGATATTTTCTTAAAAAGCCTTATAGCGCTAAGATTCCACGGACCAAGCGTCTCGACACCGAATGGGACAAAATCTAATTGTGTATTTCTTATTCCGCGCGGACGGAGTCGCGGGTGTACTATTTAAAATGTTACAATTATAATTAAATATCTAACTCAACTGTATTAGAACTAACTAAAGGAGTTATAGATTTAATTTAATGTTATTTTTATAGCGAAGCTTTTATAGGAAAGTATAAGAGTCGCTCATTATCCAACAGCGTCTGATTTAATAAAGTTACAGGAGTGTATTTTCAACTAATTCGTTATTATTTTGGATTTATAATATTAGTAATGTTAGAAAGAAAATCCGACCCTGTGCTGGTGTATCTGCACAACACTAGCATTATTAAAATATCGACGTTTATGTCCCCTCACTAATCAATCTGACACTTGACTTTGTAAAAGCGCGCCATTCGCGCCAAAAGATTTTAAGTAATAATCTCTATCAATACTTACAAGTTTAAAATAAGCCCAAGCAAGTAATCCATATCTTAATGGTATACAAAAGCAACATTTTGTTATATTTGGCATTTCGAAATACATTTTGAAAAAAATAAAATTAAAAAAAAAAAAGTAGAGAAGAACCTTTACACTGAACCGTCACGACTCTACTGTGATATAGATAAATCTATGTTCACTTATATGCCACACACAACTAGCTGTTGCCCCTGACTCTATCTGCGCGGAATTAAAAAAAAACTTAATTTGTAGCCTATGTGTTTTTCCAGACTGTGTTTTAATTTTTTTTTTCAGAGAGGAATGCTTTATGCGTACTCCATGCCACGATAGTTATGTTCCTAGTTATGAAGCATACCCACTAAACCCGTCTGTTCCTCCTACGCATGATGGCGAGGTCACGGGCACGTTTTCGCTTTCGTCCGCAAGCCCACTTGCGTCTGCTGCCGAGGCAGCTCCCTCTATAAGGGAGGTCGAACCTTGGTAAACACCTAGAGCACACCTCTAAGGTGTACTGTCCCGTGAGACTGTGTTCTACATCTGTGCCAAATATCAGCAAGATCTATGCAACCGTTGTAGAGATATCTTCTAACAAACATCCATCCAAACATTTGCATTTATAATATTAGTAACGTGTTTTATATCGTTCTGACCATTTGCGAGGTCGGTCATTAATATGATAACATTTATTTATCTTACTGGGGTTAATATAATGGTGAGTTTCCACTGAAGAAATATCTACATAAATAGACATAAAATAGACTACATTAAAATTTTAAAAGTTGAATACTTACCAATTTAATTAATTGTTACTAAAAGATCACAGGTGAATAAAATCTGACGTTCTAACAGTGAAGGAAAACATCGTAATGCAACTCATACATATAATAGAAGAGAAGATATGTATGAAGTCAACCCGCACTCGGTCAGCGTAGTTGACTATGGCCTAGTCAACCCTAACTT